AAAAACATTACCTTTAGGGATAGAAATAATTCTTACACAACATTAAAATTTCACAGCCAGGTAGGTATGCTATAGAAAAATACATTGGAAAATGAACATTACAAACTTCCCTGGAATATTGACAGCCTAAACAGAAAGAAAAAAGAACATACACATACACAGTAACTTTCTTGTAGACAGGTAACTTTAAGCTAGTCTAAAATTTGAATTCAAAATGATTTGATGCCAGTTATATCCTAGACATTGTAGGGAGAGATATTGGTGAAAAAAGACTTTTTTTTATTGTAAACATCTCAAAATCTAGTGAATGCAAAAAAAGAAAAAATAATCTGACATCAAAGTAACAACAAAAAGTCTTCCTAAAGGAAGAACATTTTGTTTCTAGGCATATTGTGTGGAAGGAGTCTGAGGTAAAGATGGTGGAGGGATGACAGTGTGACAGAGAAAAGTACAAAATTTATGCATTACAAGAACAAGTCCATTTATACATTTTAGACACCAGCATATTCCATCACTCAGCATAGGATAGGCATTCAGTATTTATCTCTGTCAATTAAGGACTAAGAGAATGCAGAGCGAAAATAGGAAAATAAATTCCTGAGAATGCATTAATTTAAATATTCAACTCTTCAAAACTTGGGGACTTTAGGACATCTCTGCAGTACGGGTGCTAGAGACAAGTGGTTGTGGAGACTGAAATGTTTGGGCTAGACTAGGGGCAGTTCTGTGAGCCATGTAGTGGAATTGGAGCTTCTCTTATAGGAAGAGGGAGCCTTGAAGCTCATTAGCAGCAGGGTGAGTTCCGTTTGCATGATGCTTGCTCTGGGAACACTGTGAAGGGCAAGGGGATATGGATCTGACTGAGTGTTCCAATCAATCAGACACTGAGAGAAAGATGTAGGAAATGTCTCTGCCACTCTAAACTTGATAAGCTGGGTTACAATTGATTGGGATAGGAAATACAGAAAGAGGAAGAACTTTCCCATGGAGAAAAGTTATTTGAGGTGTATATTGGGCAGTAAAGATTGATGTCTGAGTCTAGGGCTATAAGTACTGATTCTAATATTTTTCAGAGCCCAATGCTTTAAAATTCAGCTATATATTTTTTTAATTTTTAAAAAATTTAATAACCACATGATTGGAAGAAGCATTTCATTACAGCTTTAACATATTCAGTAACACACACAATCAGATATATATATCTCTTTCAAAAGTGGCTGTAAATTTTTAGGTTCTCTTGAATTAATATGGTTATTCAATATTGAACTCAGTATAAGCCCTGTGAGACATAAAATTAAATGAGATTTTAACCTTTAAAAGAGATCTCCATTTCATTTTAAAAATATACTGTTTCTTACAGAAAGACTCATTGTTTTTGATAATAACACTGGGATGTTGGTGCATGAGTCTTTAATCTGTATGTCTCTGATTATTACTAGTCATAATTGGTTGCACGCAGGTTCTTGGCACCTGTGTATGTCTATACAGTCATTGGGTAGATTTCAACGGCAATGTTTTTCACCTCTACTATTTAACATGACGTAAATTTTTATGCTTCCTTCTCAAATATAATTCATTTTTAAAAATTATTTGATTTGTGTGTGTATATCACTCAGAACATCCCAAACCATCTTATTCAACTATGCACCCACTTCCCAGATGGCACCCTCCCATAGCCTCCCTCCCCTCACTAGAGCCCTTATACTCTGTCATCCCTGCTACTGTCCACTGTGTTGTCAGCACCCCAGCCGTTCCCCAGTACTTGTCCATCTGGTGAATCTAGTCAGCATATCTAGAGGTCTTTGTTTTAGGAAGGTCAGATGTTCCTCATCTAACAGCAATCAGTTGTCAATATTCCTTTAGACAAGATTGGGGTCTGCTGTTCATTTTCCCAGTTCTATGCTGAGTTACTATCTGAAGTCCCTTGGGCCACCCTGGCCAACAACTCAAATGAAGGTATTTCCTATCTGGTATTGTTGCTTGTTATGTAGCCTTTAGCTGTACAGTATGTTTAACACACATACTTTGAGGTCTATACTAATTTGGTCAGAGGGATGTATAGGACAGTTTTTGCTCCTTACCCTCCTAGGTTGACTAGTTCCAGGGGACTATGAGCATGTTTCAAAGTGTCCTGTAATTGTGGTGGGGTCACCTGTCCTCTTGATCAAGGAGGCCAAGGAGACCCCATGAAATGGACTTGAACCAGTGTCCAGTCTACAAAGAGGAGGGTCAACACAGAGGAATCATTTCCTCCATGTTTCCAAGCTAAGCCAGCCATGGTCGAGCAGGACCTTTGACTTATCTTCACATAGGCAGAACTTGTAAAAGAAAGGAGCCAGGGGCTCCTCCCAAACCCATGTGACCCCTGAGGAACAGATCCTCAAATTTTATTTAGTAAAAGTAAATTGATTTATCTGGACCAACTTTATGGCCTTAAATACCCAAAAGGAAAGTATAACCAAAGATTAAAAGGGCCAATATAATTTTTTAAGTTTTACATTTTTAAAGATTTAAGAGAAGCTTTTACTGTTGGAATTTCATAAAAGGAAAAAATATTACATGAAAACATTATTTTATATATTATACATTTAAAATACATATTTTAACATATTTTATTTGTTCTTTGAGAATTTCACACATTTTTGTATTTTGTTCATATTCGTTCTCCTCCAACACCCATCCATAGTTTCCTCCACCCAACTTTGTGTTCACCTTTTATTTATTGAAATAAACCATTAAGTCCAAATAGTGCTATAAATAAGCCCATGTGTAGGGCTGCTTGGTGCATGAATAACCTACTGAAGAAAACTGTCCCTCCCTAGTACCATCTACTGTTTGTAGTAACTCAGATAGAGGTGGAGCCGGAGTGTTGACTGGCTTGATCTTGTGCAAATCTTGTGCAGGCAGCCATGACAGCTATGAATTCATGAGTGCAATGGCCTTGTCACATGCAGAAGACACTGTTTTATAACAGTCCTCCACAACCTATGGTTCTTACATGGCATTCCCTAAGCCTTGGGAGAGGCAGGTGTGATAAAGCTGTCATATTTAGGGCTGAGCACTCAAGCACTGCTTGGTCTCTATCCACTGACCAATTCAGAGTCTCTGTGTTAATGATTGTCCACTGCAAAATGGAGTTTCTCTAATCAGTAGTGAGAGCTTCACTAATCTATGAGAATAAAGTTAATTATACATTTTTTAAAGTTTTTTAAAAATTTATTTTAATTTCTGTGTGCATGTGTATTGCCTGCATTTATGTAAGTGCACTCATGTTGTGCAATGCCTGTGGAGGTCAGAAGAGGGTGTCAGATCCCCTGGAACTGGAGTTACAAATGGTTGTTAGCTGCTATGTGTGTGCTGGGATTCAAACCTGGGTCTTCTGCATGAACAGTCAATGCTCTTAACCACTGAGCTATCTCTCCAGCCCAAGTTAATTGTACTTTAGATGGTAGTTTTATACTATGTCCATTTTGCAAATAATAATAGTAGGTTCTCCCCTATAGCCTATGACCTCCCCAGCCAAGAGTTCTTGGCCAGGTTTACAGTGCCATGCATGAATTCTTTTCTGTGGGATAGGCCTTAAATCCAATCCTTTAGTGTAATTTTTTTTATTACACTAAAGGATATATTTTGTCAAGCAGGTTATTATTGTAGCTCACAGAGTTTACAGCTAGGAAAGACTGTTGATGACTTTCTCCTATAGCCTCTATAACACCTTGTAGCACTATGAAAGCTAGCCAGTATGAAGGAAGCTTCTAGGCTTGTACCACCTTGGTTTTTCACATCCTGTGATCCAAGTGTGTGGTGTCCTCAGCAATAGGGCCTTACCTTCAAGTTCTGATGGGTAAACCAATAGCAATGGCTATAGAGTATATTGTTTGGGGTGACTCCCTTGACCAAAAACTCAAAGAGAAGTATCCCAAATGTGGCACTGGGTTTTTGGTTTAATAATCTTATGGTGTCTAGAAGAAACACTATTCCCTGTTATAGGGTTGCTCCATTTAAGCTTGTGTGTGTGGGGGGGGGTGTACATATATATGAGAAAGCTTAGAATAATAAATGTTCATACAGTTTTTTCAAACCTCCTTAGCGTTACTTTGCCCTTCCTCTAGTCCCTGTATGACCTACCCTCTTATCTTCCTTCCTCCCCACTTAAACATCCTCCCATTTTTCCACTTTCCCCCTTCATACCAGTTGTGACCTTCTATACCTCCTCTATTAAAATATTTCTTCCTCCCAACGCT